ATTGGTGGGTGTCTCCGTAGTCTAAAGGTTAATTGACTACCCTTCTTACGTTAATTCTCAACATAGTAGCTTTAATTGTTATACACGCGTTTGATATACTAATTCCACACAATGTCGGATTTGTACACGGACAATATGACCCGCGGGTCAAGCGAGATGGAAAGGTACGATAATTTAACCAAGAAGCATTGCTCTTTTCTAATACTGTAGGTGCTAGGCTTGAAGAGCAGTTTGAACTCCTCACTCAGTACGCTTGTTTCCCCAAAACACATTGTCCCCCTTTTGACCGAAAAAGGAACATTGGGTACCTTCTCCACCCGTCCATCACCTCGCTTCTCCCGCCAGCTCCATGCATTGCCGATGTGGGAACTGGGACGGGTGCATTCCTCCGGCTTTTAAGCCCCGTGTTCCCGGACGCCACTCTCCACGGCTTTGATATTTCGTCAGCGCTTTTCCCGCCAGATGCCACGCTCCCGCCAAATGTATCGCTCATGGTGCAAGATGTGAAGCAGCCATTCCCAGAAGCGATGCATGGCACGTACGACGTGGTCCACGCACGCTTGCTGGTCACAGCGATGCTCCCAAGCGATTGGGAACCTGCAGGTTAGGCAGATCTGAACTTTTTCGTTTACAATCAGCTTCCCAACCGAAACTCTCCGCTGAAACAAACCTTTTCGTCTCGGGTCCTACGCGTAGGCCAGGGTTGCCAAGAACTGTTTGAGGAATTTATTACTGACTTTACCTTATAGTACATAATCTCTCATCTCTATTGAAACCCGGGGGTTTCCTACAATGGGAAGAATGCGACTTCATAAGCAGCAAGAACATCCGGGGTCGCGTAGACTCTCGGGTGGACAGCGCCAGAGCCATGGCAGACGCCTTCCGCAAAGCATCGTGGGAGCGATTTGAGCATGGCTGGAATGAAATCCCTGCGTATATGAGGGCGGCAGGGTTGACTTCTGTCGTATCGGATATTGTAAGCTCAGATCGCGTGTCAGAGACACGAGAGAGGCTCACTGCTTCGATTCAAAATCTTGTCTTTACATGGGCACGTCTGATGGCTCAGCGAGGAGGGCCTGAATCAATGACGAGCGATCAAGTAGATCTAATGAAGAAAAAGGTGGACGAGGATATCAAGTCTGGGTGTTACTTTCGATTCGATATCCACGTAGCTTGTGGTAGGAAGTCTTTAAAGTGATTGGAGCATTATGAGATTTTCCAGGAAGAATCAATCGTCATATGCATCTATGCGTTACAAGCTACAACCATGGTGTCAGGAGGTTATGTCCGGAGTGAATAGAGAGACCTGTTTGCAACCAAAGTAGTAGTTAAAGCTCAATAGTGTAATTAATTAATTTCTAAACCTTTTAAATCAAAAAAGTTTAGTTACTTATATATATAATATTTACTAGTTTTACTTTATAAAGTAGTTAGCAACTAGTTTTTTAACAAAGTATTCTTTTTACTTATGTTTTGTTTTAAAGCATAAAAAGTAAAGCTATTGCTAACCTTGTTGTTTTTATAACTTTATATACGTAAATAGTTAAAAAAAACTACGTAATAGCTACTAAAAAAAAAGAAACAGAAAAAAGTTTTGTTTTAACTGCAAAAAACCTAGAACTTTTTATATATTTGTTAACTTATTAAGCCCTAAAGCACCTAGTGCTTAGTTAATATTTTGCTATAGCTTTTACATAACTTTAAAACTTTAAAACTTTAAAATTAATCCGAAATAGCTACGCAAGAGCTACATAAGTTATACAAATGCTTTATAAGTGCTTTAAAAGTGCTTACAAAAAGGTTTTTTAAGGGGTGCTTTTTTTTTTTCGGTTGTTTATGTTTTTTTTAATGTTTCGGCCGTTCGTTCTTTTTTCGGCTGCACAAAGAACTATGCTACGCTTTATCCTTTGTTAGCTTTCGTTAGCTTTCGGCCTTATGCTCCCCTTTTAAGTAGCTGCTTCTGCAGCTACGCAAAAGTTGTAAACCTTTTGTACGTAGTAGTAAACCACGAGCTACAACTAGTAAACCACGAGCTACCCGGGCAAAACATAAGCTGCTAGTCCTTAAAAGTTAAAACTTAGCGTTAAAAAGTTAAGCTAAAAGCTAAAAACTTTAATGCTATTAAATAAGTTGTAAATAAGTTATTACTTTTTAAGTATACGCGTATAACGTATAAACTACTTTAAAACAACTATTTAAATATATTTAAGCGTTACAACCTTTTTATAGCAAGCATTTTTTTAAAGCTTTAATTTACTACTTATTTTATATAGCAAGCACTTTTTTTTTAAAGCATTAATTTATTATAAAATAGCAAGCACTTTATTAAAAGCACTACTTTATTAACTTATAAGCAACAACTCTCGTAAGTTTTTAAATGCTTATTTTAAAAACAGCTTGTACGTAAATACTATATAGCTTATAACTCGCTAGTTTAATGTTAGTACTTAAAAAAGGTTAACGGTTTACTTACTATAGCTTAATAAAACAAAGCTACTTTAAAGTTAGCTTAAAGCTTTAAGCTTACGCTTTTAAAGCTACGCCTTTAAAAAAGTCGTAAATGCTTTATTTAGTTGCTAGTCGTTAATGCGTACAAAGCTTAAGCTCTAAAGTTAAAACTAAAAAGGTTGCTAGTGTTTCGCTAGTTTTTCGCTAGTTAGGTTTTTAGCTGCAAACAAGCCTTTTAAACAGTCCAAGCAAAAAAAAAAATTTAATATATTAAAAAGTTATGTTCGAAGTAAATAAAAAAACCTATTTGCAACTAGGGTAGTAGTTAGGGCTCAATAGTGTGATCAATTAATTCTTGAACCTTTTAAATCAAAGGGGTTTAGTCACTTATATATATAATATTCACTAGTTTTACCCTATAGGGTAGTTGGCAACTAGTTCCCTAACACATGGGCACACTTGAAACCGTACAACAAAGACCCTTCCATATATAGCCCGATTAACTCACAAAAGTGATCTTATAAACCTTCGCGCAACAACAGTGTTTGTGATCTACCTTAAGCCTAAGGTTCTTAGTTGGTTGTGTGCTTGTATTATATATTATGTATAAAGATCCCGCACTTATATTTAAAGTAGAAAGGGCCGGCTGTAGGATTTAAACCCGAGTCTACCCTCCTCCTTCCACTCCTCTCTTTAGAAACAGTAGCTATTTAACGTTAACTATTGTTGTATAAAAGGATCTATAGCGCACTTTAGGGCATTTAGGGATAGTATTTTTAATACTTGTATTAAAGGAGCGTGAGCTGTAAAGATTAGTTTGCGCACCGAAGCCGTTCGTTCAGCAAGTTAGTTTTAGTGCGCCAAAGCTTCAGAGACTAGCCTATACCTACCCAAAGCTAAAGCTAAATAAAATATCAAAAGCAAACTATCTAAGTATTTACTAGTATAAGGAAGGTAAGTAAGTGAACCTTGAGTCGAAAACGCTACGTTTTCACCTCGCCAAAATGTGTTGTAGACGGAGAGTTGTGTGGTGAGTCCCTGTAGGCCAGTAGAACCTATCATTCAATGAACTTGTTTATGATTAATAAGTTGAGAAACTTGAAGCTAGAATACCTAATGTAAGAGGATATAGAATATAATGACATGTTGGAGCTGTTGAGCTGGGCTGCCTCCTATTAACTCGACCCCAGGCGATCAAATAAACTGCGACATCTATTAATACATCGGTTTTCAAAGAACGAGAGCTTTAGAGATCTTCCCGGTTCACCCCGAATACAACTGTTTAGTTCTTTCGACACAGCTACCAGTATGAAAGCCAAGAAACCAGTCCTAGATTCCCCACAGTTAGTCTATTTCGATTAGTTGCATCGAACTCCGCCTCGGCTACTGATCTCTTGCCAGCCGATACTTGACCAATATATAACGCGTACATGAACATACATGCGTTATACGTAGTGTTGTAGCTTGCTTACTTGGAAAGAGGTCTCACGCCATCCGGATTTGTTGGTGTTGTGCGTTTAAAGACCCATGTACACTATAATATTATGGAATCTAAATACTCATCTAGGCAGGTAATTTCGGTGCGCTTGCCGACAGAATTGATCCACAGGGTGCATAATCAGATGGTCGCTTAGAAAAAGAGTCAGTGGCACCTTGTCAGCCGTCGCAGTGTGTTGACTGGGTCCAGTTGATACTCTACTGTATGAAACCTCCCTGCATAATTATATGCCTTGTTCAGCATTCCTCAATCCATCCTTTTGCCGAACAAGGCGAAGTAAGGGGCCATGGGGTGCCCGTTTTGAGGCGAGAGCAATTTTGGAGATCTTACCAAGACAATTATTGCCGCACGGCAGAGTGCATCTACTAGACAAAATTAGGTTTTGTGTGTAGAACGTGCAGGAAGCTGACTGAAAGATACAATTACTGCAGCATGCATCATGGGCTTCACATGTGTCAAAGTCCTAATTAAACTGCCGAAAGGTTACATAGCAGCAAAGGATTTTGGATGTACAGCAGGCTTTGGTAAGTAACATGATTGCGCGAATCACGGAATGCAATGTGACAAGCGTACGCCAATAATCGAATGATGCCAAACCAGAAACAGAAACTGTAATAATCTGGTGCTATCTCGCAATCAATTCCGATTTGTCGGCTTCGGTCAAGAAGGTATCCATTTTCGAATTGGACATGATTCTCGTCTGGCGGCTCTTTCTTTGTACATACCAGGCAGCCGTTGCAGTAAGACTCGCGGACCCTTAATCAGCGCAACACTGCTTCAGTACGTATGTAGGATGCTGCTGTAGCTCTGGAAGAAATACAACAGTAATACTCGCTTACATCCTATCAAACCGTTGGGTGGGTGGGCTTGGTGGAATTCAGGATGGTTTGTTCATTGATGACCCAACTGCTAAGGTTTTTTTTTAGTTTGGGAACAGAACCAATCTTGTAAAATTAAAACAAGGAAGATGAGCCAAAGACAAAAACTAACACGTACAACACCACCTGCGAGTCAATAGTTGCGAAATAATATAATATGAAGAAAAATATTACGTAGGACCGAATGGGAATTGAACCCATGACCTATGGAACTGCAGTCCATTGCTCTACCGCTGAGCTATCGATCCCTAGTTACAGGGGTAGCTTAGTCACAGGAACACCGCTGCCTCGTTGGAGATTTGACAATTATTTATCATTATATCCTAATCTTAGTCAAATTTACAAGGTATAAACAATCTTGAGGCTTAACCATGTAAATAGTTGCAGCATTTCAAAGGTGTACATCTTACCTATAAAACAATACAAGAAACATAGATTTAAAAGTGAACTAAAAATGCTAAGAACAAAACCTACAGTAACTAAAGCAGAGTGGAAAGTGAATGTATTGCTTAACTACCTAGGTAGCCAGAGCTTTCCAGCTAAAATGAATAAGTATATCCAACACTGAACTTTGGCCGTGCTAGTTCCGGCTGAAGTAGGCCCCAACCGAACGCATGGACGACGACCGTCTAAGTAAACGCTTGATATTTTGTTGTTTGAGGAGAGAAAATGGCTGTATAGAGTTCTAGTACCATGGAGACGAGGAGGAACCCAACCCGTGTGTTATGATCACCCATATGATCACCTGCTACGATCGCATAGAACAAAGGGCATGTATATATCTAGCTAGAGACTAGCCCACGAAGGTGTATTGACCTCTTCGCACAACAACAGAGTTCATACGTACCCAATACCAAAGAACCTGACACTATGGCCTTTGGCAAGGAGATCCGAGATGGAACAAGACTAACTAGAACGCGATAGAAGACGTAGATTCCAATCCTAATTTATTGGCGTTTTATCCGTGGTCTCAATATGTGGTCTCAATATCTTAGTATCCAGCCTTGACGTATAGTGTGTATAGTCTCGAAATGTGGGCTTCGCGTACAGTATGTATAATCTCGATGTAGTCTCAATACGTGGTCTTGATGTTTCGACATGGTCTCAATATATAGTCTTGACGTATAGTATGCATAGTCTTAATGTGTGGTCTCGACGTGTGGGCCTTGCCGTAGTTTAAAAATAAATTTAATAACTGTACTCTATGTTGAATAATACATAGGGTTATAACGTCGATGATAGTAGAGGAAGTTGGACAACGTACCTAGCACCGGCTTTTCGAAATATCCCTTGTAACTTAACATAAGCCCTCTCTCTCCCGGAACGACACTCTCTCTACCAGATAAGTATAAAGGACTGGAACTCCTATAGGTATCCCAGGTAGTACAATTACACCAGTATCTAGCTTACTTACAGTCTTAGTGTTGTAGACACAACTATAGCACCCTCCATAATTTCAAAGAGCCTATCAAGGTTAATACACGTATATACGCGAAACTGGTAGAATGGGTAAGTTAGCTAACTAAGTAGGGCGCAGATAAGAGTCACAAACAGTGTAGATAATTAGACTTCCCATCTAATCTCACATGATAGTCGAATATGTGAGATAGATAGCTAAGCTAGGTGTTAGGGAACCCTGTGCTTGAGGTAGGCCAAAGACAGTTGTTGTTGCGTGAAGGACTCCAAAATACCTTCATGGATACTATCTCACTATATACAGCAGTCTCTTCGTCTAGGTGTCCAGTCCCTTATCCGTATGCCTGTTCTCCTTGTCTATGTGTATGTGTGCCTTGCGACAGGAGGTAACAGTCAGAGCTATACGTGAGCCTGCACAAATTGAAAACAGCGTCAAGGAGCACATCTCCAATATATCAATATTAATACTATGATGCAATTCCCCCAGAGAGAGCCAGTTTGTCATTTGAGTTCAAATCAACAGCCGATATAATACGTAAATCGAGTTTGTCTGACCATTTGATGCCCGTGAGTCGATTAAGGAGGTGGATCAGAACACTATATCAATAGAGGATCAATAGAGAAGTGAAGTGCATTCGTTGGTCCACTTCGTGCATGAGTTTTCCTTTGATCCTGGTGGATATAGGAGTCTTCAACCGGCTTGAGCGGACGCGTGTGGCGCTGCTGTGATAAGGCGAAGGGGAATAACCTCGCCATTGGTAAGTTAGCTGATTGGCTGTTTTCTCCTCTCGCTTGACTGGGCCTCATATCGAGCGGCTCAAGGGACAGTACTACCATCTGACGTAGGCGTTCTTCAGTGTAGTACAGCGAGCGACAGTGTCTTATCGCGGGAGATGTATATGCATCGACCTCAGCAATTGCTGACGACTAGAACACGTCTTCGTGTTGTACATACCATATCTAGTTAATTATTCATTCAAGTACTATGTATGTAGTAGTCAAACAAGCTGGTTGGCTAGCTTAGCGTTATGTAACATTGGTCTCATCTGAACGAGTCGAATCGATTGCTGAGTTGACGCTGCAGGTTTGTCGTGGGGGTTATCGTATTGTTGCAGTATGGAGATGGTTGCAGGCGAATACGACTCCAACATAAGAAAGTATCGACATCGTATCTATCGATGCACTTTTACCGTTCGCTCGCAACGATAAGAGGCGACTCCGTATATGTCTTATCTTATGACGGCTCATTGTCAATTGAAGGTGGCAGTTGTCAGTGGCGTAGACGAGGTGCATAGATAAAATGCCCAGTTTCAATTGTATGATGTTATTCTTGATTGTTGTCGCAGTTCCGCCGCTCCTCTCCGTCCGTTGTTTGCCCCAACAACAGCTACTTCAATCTATATGCGACTAGCTTGCACACCGTTATATTAAGTGTAATAGGCGCGTTTGCTTATCTTGATCTATTCGGCCTGCAGGCATCCATCCTACCGCTTATCTACAGTGCAGCTAGCAGATCGGCAGGTCAAACGAAGAGTTCCAATCTCTCTCCTGTGTTGTTGACTGTCGTCTGCACTCGTCACTCAAACAACGTTAGACATGGGCACAGACACAGACGCATATCTATAGACAAACTTCTGGGCAGCTACCTAGTACCTACCTGCCTCGGTTACAGCTACTTGAGAGGATACCTCGAAAGAACGAGAGAAAAAGGCTACCTATCCTGTTGCACGCGTGCGTTCGAAACATCAAGATCCCGTGTCACAGAAAAACCTTGTGTCACCCGCACGTTTCCACTAGACCAACGACTTCCTCGTGCCGGAACAGTAACTACGCCTATTTTCATTTATTCCACGTATCCCCGTTGATGCAAGAAGACAGAGGTCGGGACATGCATTAAACATGCCAGTTTCCAGCCTTCATACAAGCACGCAGCTCTCTAGAAAGCTAACCCCCTCCCCCCTAACAAGCACTTTGTAGCGCCGAGTGACCGCCGGGGACACCCAGAACCGTGATTGATTGATTCACTTACAATATAACACCAGCCCATTCACGATTCTAGTCATCATAAATATACTGTCCAGTACCTCTTCCATCCTCCTAGACACTCGACAATCTCAGCGAGGCTGTGGCGTATCACGCCTCTTTCTCAGGCTCAACCGCTAGTCAAGGTTTTGTCCGTCCTTGGCCATAGTAATCATGCTTGAAAATCCTCTCCGCAGGTCAACGAAGAACCCTTCGACCGGTACTGCGGGACTTCGCCGCCCAGATTCACCAGTAGTCAAACCACAACAGGTCGGTCCGTCATTTGCTCAGAGAAAAGCCCTCCAATCACAGTCGTCCGACGCCGTGCTCGTCGAAGGTAGTGATATCACGCGCAGTATCGACCGTCCTCTTCCTGGCGATGTCATTGGACGCCACAAGTCGCGGCTTCATCCGGACATGATTAGGAAGAAGAGCGCCTATTTCGAGTCCGAGTTCGCCGGACCCAACCGTGGTGATGACCCTGCCAGGACTCGCATCCTCAACGAAGCCATGGTCACCGTCGAGCTCAAGACAAACGTCATCATAAACGACGAGTTTGCCTTCATTACAGATCTGGCCTGTCACCTATCGAACCGATATCAACGGCCAATGTCCTCCATCATCGTTACCATTCACCACGGTGTCTGCATGCTGTTTGGAAGCACCTTTGACCCCGCATATACCCTCACCATACTCGCTCTACCGAGCCTGCTCCAGCCTGCAACGAATAAGAGAAACGCTATCCTTACCCAGCGGCATCTCCATGAAACACTCGGCGTAGTCCCTACGCGAGGCTTTGTCCGATTTGAGGCCGTCCCCGAGGAGAACATCGCCATTGGTGGCAAGACGCTCGCAGCAGAGATCGAGGGATTATCGAGAGACAATGCCGATCGGAAATCCGGCGTGTTTAGAAAGCCGTCCAAGTCTGGTCGAGAGATTATGAAGAGCGTCAAGGTAAGCGCCCTGAAGAGGGCCTGTGCACCAGTGTGTTCTAGAGTTTGAGCTGAGTTGTGTGCAGTCCTTAAGTAGCTTCAAGTCACACTCGGTAATCGACCTTTCGGGGAATGTGCCAACTCCACCGCCAAGTAACTCGGGAGAGACAACACGCATAGCCACGATTCCGGAAGTACCACCGACACCACCTGACGACGAGAGAACGAGTCAGATGGAAGAACGGAAGCCTCGTAAGGGTGCGCCGCGCCGCAAGAGCCTCCGATTTGCGCTGTTTGGGAACAAGCTATCACCGGACAAGTGAAGAATAAAACTCATGGCCAGATGAGAATCACGTCTTGTCTGCCAGTATGCTTGATTTTCTTGGCAGCAGAGACGACAATACGCAGTGACGCGAATCTATCATGGATGTCGGTGCCGACTTGCCGGTACACTCAAAATTTCTAAACTAAGTGGCTCTGGGTATCAGGGATTGTCCTGCTGTACAATTGAAACGCATGGACCTATAATACGGCCAGGTAATTAGCATTTCCCTGTTTATATTGTACGACGCGTAGGACGTTAATGCCCAAATTCCGTTGTGATGGCTTGCGTCTACAACAGACGACAGTGTTGCCGCTGTAGTACTTGTCTATCTATTTCGGCAAATGAGAGTCCTATTCCCGGCATCGGGTCACGATTGGCTTTACCTTGAGACTAGCCTGGAGGATTGATTTGCCAAAATATCTTAAAGTGACGGGCATAATCTTGCTCATGTGCTACCTGGGTACTGTCACCTGCTTCAAATTCGCTACCTGTTGTCGGATTCCCAATACCTATATGGGCAATCAGAGGAGCATGGGGACCCTGCCTACATGTA